AAAAAAAAAAAAAAAAAGTGCTGTGAACAAAGAGCTTTTTTACCCTCAGATCTGTGAGCAGCCTCTACGGAAAAGATAACTTTACAAACCACAACAGACGAGGTGCAGCACTGCTGAACTTCACATGCCCTCTGTCAGTGGTGACACGATGTGGTTTATCAGACTTGATCACATCTGTGGCAGAACTGCAACATGCAGGGCCAGAAAAAAATGTAGCAGTGCAGAAGAAACAAATATTTTGGCACCACAGTTAAAAGATAAAGAAGCCAGATGCCTTCACACCGTAAAAGATCTCTTCTGAAGCGGAGACTTAAAACCCACCGAGATAAGAGAACAAAGTGCCAAATTAAACACCTGATGAAATACTGAACTAAAGAAGTGTTTTCTTGCTATGACACGGTCGAACAGCAGAAAACGTCATGGGAAACTAGAGAAAGACCTTCCTGCATGCCCATATAGAAAGTGTACATTGAACCATTCAACCGTTGTGCATACCGATGCTTTACACAACACAGCAGCTAAATGCCAGGAAAAATGGCAGTCGTGTGTGTTCTGGACGTGTTTACATTATTCCATAGAGCAGCAAGTACATATAAGAGGACATTTTATCACCACTTGGATCAGATTTACAGTCTCTGTGGGGCTTAAAGTGTTTTTACAGACTCTTGTAGATTTCAATATATTACTGGTTTCCAATATTCAGCTTACACTTTATTTACGATACTTTAGATGACTCTTGTGTATTGAGTGGTTTTCACATTTCCACGAGCCCTGGCTCGATGACACATTTCTCTTTGCCTCAGGAAGGGCATCCAGGGTAAAAAATAATAAAAAAAAGAATCTGCCAAATCAAACATGTGGAGTTGCTCACCGTCATGACCCTTTGTGATTAAGTGTACTGCCAAAAGTGGCTTTTGTTGTGCTGCAATGAAGGGATACTTCAGAAAAACTAAGTTATGATAATACTCAACAGGTGCTGAATGTGTCCACGACCTTCCCACTGCAGACTACAAGACATAAATGCTTATGCATTAACATAAGATCACTATGATGCACATTTATTAATTTATGTAAATAAATGTCAAGTGTTCTCTGTCTGTGAGGTGCCCACACTTGAAAAAGACCAGACTTTGAATTCACTTTATTTTGACCAGCTAGTTTGATAGCTGATAGGTAGGTGAAAAGCCTTTCAACACAAAAAAATAATCATTCAGATAAATTAAATGCATTATACAGAATACAAATGAAATAACAAAAATATATACACTTCAGTAAAGCCATTTAACATAGCTAAAGCTAAATACTTTTGTCTAGACTATCATTTAATCATTTAAAATATATCCAAAATCA